GATTTAATCTGCAAATTCTATAAAGATCAGGAAGCATAAAGTAGTATGTTCTGGCTTATTGTGTATATGGTAACTGTCATTTTACTTAGCTTTTACTTACAATGACTGCTTTAATCGGATCTGAGGCCTGAATCCTGCTTAATAAGCCTTAGTTCATCACTACAAGAATAACTAGGGCTTAATTTGCTTGGTACAGTGACTCCCTAGTTTGACTTATTTACCAATACATTATACATTAAACTTAATATATTCTGGGCAATATTGCACCTTGATTGAAAGATAGCTAACCATACCCATTTTATTAGGCAGACGGACATTCATTTTTTCTGAACAGATTGCTTGAGTACAACCTATTGAATTATGGGCCTATGTTTCTCATGTATTATTTCTTCCTTTGATCCTTAGATGATCACAGAAAAGAATAAACTTGTAGAGCTGTATCATTACCCAGGATATCATGAAGAGGAAATGACACCACTGCCCAATGGAATAGAGCTGAATGAAATTTTGGAGAAAGTGATTCGTGCTCAGAGTAAAACTGTAGTTGGGAAGGTAGTTCAGACCTTCGGGGTTTATGTGGCAATACTCTTACTTCTGGAGAAAAATAGCAGGGACAGATTAACCATATATTTACTTGCTTTAGCACCTGATATTAAGTGGCCTTAATGCCCCCTGGTGATGACTGCACAGGGATTTTGTTTTTTTCCTTGCTCAGCTTCAAATGAGTACAGTAGATCTAGTTATCTTTCTAATTAATAGAGTATCTAGATGCAACCACTTGGTATGAACAAAAGATTTCATCACTCGGTTACACAGGATAAAGATTCAAGGAACAACTTTTGTGATTTACAGATTGAGATGAAACCAGCTTTACAGTTTGAATTGGTTCAGTTGAGAGCATGATATTAACTATTCTCTTCAGGTTTTAACTATGCTTACTTATTCAGATTAGTTCACAATTTGGAGAGCTGAGATTCAAAATATAACTTAAACCCCTTGTTATGACTGCTTAATATAGTTCTGATTAGGCCCGCTAGGTCTAAGGTAAAACAAGATGATGGAGTAAATATACATAAAATAATCTTTTCAGACAATTCTTAAAATATCTTGACTAGTAGTTCCCAGCTGACCTCCTCCAGATGTACAAGATAGCAAGTCCCATTATTGCCAGGCTTTGTCTGTTCATAGAGGGAAGTCAGAGAATTGCAATTCCACACTTGTGGAGGGTTCGTAACATAGGAGGGAAGACAGATATAGACTATGGTATTACTCTTTTGTTTCTTTACAGACGAAGTGGGCTGTGAAAATGCTGCACAGGTTTTTTGATGTTCCAAGCACCCGAGCTGTTTTGCTGGATAGTTTCTGGTGGCAATTCCTGCACTTATATCATGTAAGGATAAAAGATGGTTATTGATTAGATTGTTAAATTCCATTTCTCCAATTTTTCATTTTTGGTTCACCATTTTTATATCATTTCACCTGTTTTAAAATAATGGTATTCCAAATCTATATCTCTAATATGTTCTATATAATTATAAAATTATAATAAGCTATTCAGAATTTTGAAATATTGGCAAAGAAAAACTATAATGGGTTTTTTTTTTAAAAAAAGTCTTATAACTATTGCTTTAATTTGGATTTTTGCATTAATAGGAGTACAGGTAGTCCTTGACTTACACCATTTGTTTAGTGATGTTCAAAGTTACGACACAGAAAAGGTGACATGACAGTTTTTCACACTTTCAACTGTTGCAGCATTCCCATGGTATGTGATCAGAATTCAGACACTTGGCAATTGACATGTATTTATGGCAGTACAGTGTCCCGGGGTCATGTGATCATCTTTTGCGACCTCCTGACAAGCAAAGTCAATGGGAAAGCCAGATTCAATTAAAAACCATGTTACTAACTTACTACTGTGATTCACTTAACAACTGTGGCAAGAAAGGTCGTAAAATGGGACAAAGCTCACTTAACAACTGTATTACTTAGCAATGGGAATTTTGGGCTCAATTGTGATTATAAGTCGAGGACTATCTGTAGCTTGCTGACCTAAGTGTCCTTTCCAGCTCTGTGATTCTGTACCATATAATGTTAAAACAATGATGTTATTAAAACCAGTGAAGTACATATTTATTATATTCACTAAGGTATGTTAACAATTTTGTATAGAGGAGAGAAAAAGTCGTATCTGATCATATATCTCAAAAATGTGAATATTGCAATCCAGAGCATCAAACATACAAATTTACAAGATTACTACAAGGATAATGCAGGAGGAGAGAATCAGACAATGTCTGTCTGTCTGTCTGTCTATCGCAGGGGTAGTCAACCTTGGCTCTTTTATGACTCGTGGACTTCAACTCCCAGAATTCCTGAGCCAGCATGGCTAAGCATGGAAACCTCTCCCTTTCTCCTCAGCATAGCTGGCTCAGGAATTCTGGGAGTTGAAGTCCACGAGTCATAAAAGAGCCAAGGTTGACTACCCCTGGTCTATCGCATTTTTGGCAAACCGACACAGTATATTGGGTGTCAAACTGGCAACCCTGCAAAAGCCATGCCCACCCCGGCTCCACAAAGGCGAAAAAGTCACGATACATCACAGTACATCACATGACACGATCGAATTTGACTCCCATGCAGTATATGATCCTTCCTCCTTCCCTTCCTCCCTCCTTCCCACTTCCCCTTCCCTTTTAACTCCCTCTCCCCTCCCTCCCTCCCTTCAAATTTATATTTCTTAAGTAAAATTGTCTGAGTAGCCTGGAATTGAGGGATAGCTTTCTTTTATTTAGGAAACTTAAATTACTTATGTATTGGAGGTTTTTTGGAAAGAAAATTAGGAACATAGAGAAGTAGATTTTACTAGAAGCCTGGGATATGTTAAGTTTTATTTTTGACAATAATAAAAATAAAATCCATCCACAATCTAATTGTTCATACAGAACTGTATTTATAAAGTCTAAAAATATAGGATACATGCTACAAATGTTAATTCAAAACCTAGATAGATTGTCCTTAAATGGTAGCATTGAAGAGGGCTGATGAACCTCCAAAGTCTGTAAGTTAACATGCAAAAGTGATTATATGACCCCAAGACACTGTAACCATCATAAATATGAGTTAGTTGCCAAGCGTCTGAATTTTGATCACATGACCATTGGGATGCTACAACATAAGTGTGAAAAATGGTCATAAGTCACTTTTTTCAGTGCTGTTATAACTTTGAACTGTTGTAAATTAAGGACTATCTGTACTTCTCAGAGGCAGTCCCATTTACATCTAATGACAGTATGCTTTTACTTTAGGCTTCTTGTCACTAGTTTTCCTTCCTAAAATTCCATTGCCATGACACTGTGGTTAAATAAATATGCCTTCAATAACTATGTAATTTATACTTCTCCCAATAGCCAAATCGAGAAATTCAGGGGCACTTGTTTGAACGCATTGCAGAAAATTATGCCAGCATTCTATTAGGCAATCACAGGGTTTCAAACCAGGAATGCATCCTCAAGGTGAGTAAAGATTTTAAGAAATACTGGACTATAAGCGATATTAGTGTTATTTTTTTAATCAAATCTTAAGTGTGATATGATTTAAATTTTAGAAATACAGGAAGACGTTTTAAATCTAAGGGTTAAAACTGGGACACTATTGAATATTACACTATGGTTTCTTTTTCAATAATCAGCTTATGGCTTCTTATTGTGTAAAATGTATGCCATCTCTTCTTGATTTCCAGTTAATACCAATGCTTCCCCCTCCTAAGAAAAATAGATAAAAATAAAGATGAACTTAATCTATTTTCATAAGCAGTCAGTATTTCTGTCAGTAGCTTTCTTTTGTTACAGTACTTATTTCTAGGAACTAGTTTTCAAGCAATACGGAAGTTCACTTGAATGTGAATTTCTGTCTACTTTTCATTAATACCAACTCAGTATCTATGTAGTTATCTACGTCTTTTTTAAACTGTGATTTAATCCGCCCAAAGTATATATTTGCTATCTTTACTCTTGTGGCACGCTACGGTTTTGGAGGAGTAAGCTAAATGCAACATCACGATCTGAGTAATTATGTAACGATTTCTACTGGAAGAAATCATTGCTCAAGCCTATACACAGAAATCTTCTTGTTTATATCTGAGCGAAACTAGATAAGATTCAACAGTATTCAGGGGGAGGGGGAATTCGGACACCTTCGGGCCCATATAGGGATTCTAGATTAAGTCCTCATTTGACTCTTCCCCCTCGCTCTGTCAGGTTAGGAGAGAAGATGATGATTATCTGACTGCCAATCATTAAACTTCTAATTGAGGGACTTTTGAAAAGATTTTAAGGAGGTTTAATATTCTTATAACACAGGTTGAAAATTAATTGGCTGAGAAATTTAAATACTCAAATACAATTGACATAGATTTATTTGAGATTCACACACACCCTCCTGCTTTGTTTGAGTTTTTAGTTTTTTCCATCACTATTGAGTCAAGCTGTGTACATCTGCTTCTGCTCCTGTTTCCCGAGGTCCTGGTTTAATACCTCTGAATTCAAAGCCCAACTTTGTGATGTATTCTTCGAGTGGCTGGGAGGTGAGATGCCATGATATCCTTACTCAAGAAATGGTCATATAAGTTTTGAACATGCACTGTCACTGCCTTTCCGCTTACTTATCCTAGATGGGAATCAAGGGATGAATCTACTACTTGTACCTTCCAAAAATTAGTTTTTTAAACTATTGCAACAAAAATGTTGATTATGGCATAAGTTTTTGTGAACTAGAGGCCAAAGTGTGCCATAATAATAATTTTTTTAAATGTTTTTTTAAGATTCTTTGTTGTTTCAGCTAGTTATATGCCAAGATAATTTGTCCTTGTATTTCTTAAGCACAGTATTTTTTATATCAGTTAGGCAACTTTATGAAAAAAACATTTAAACACAGCATGTGATATGGCATATGAAAGAATGCTGTTTATAAAGACAGCATACTCCACGCCTATACTGTAGTGTTTTATTAACTTCTGGTGGTATAACCTTTTAACAGTTATCCTGCAGTAGGTCAGGCAAAAGATCTAGAAAAGGTTCTCCATTTTTTTTCTAATTGCTTGAATACTTGGAATTTTATTGCCCTAGGTAGCTAGTGTACCTTTATTTAGGATGGTTGTCACTGTCTACCAATATATGAGTTAAAGATCAGTTGTGTTGCCTGGGCTGCATAGAAATCATATCAGTTGGAATCTCAACATATTTGGATGGCCCAGGTTGCAAGATACAGTATATGCACCAAGGCCTTTTTCCCAGTTATGAACCCGGGTGGCTCATAATCTGAAAAAAATATGATGTTGTGCTGGAACTAAACAGATCTATCCCTCTTGGCTGTATGAATACAGACTGGTTGGGAACAATAAATGTTAATCTCTTCAAATGATCTTTACGTAATCAGATAGAACATGCTATTTGAAAACACGTGTATTAATTTGAATTCATTTAGTTCTTTAAATTTCTTCCTCTCACTCCTTTTGTTTCCATATATAGTCTAAGTCATAGTCAACATCATCCACTAGATTATGATTTTTACTATGAATCCTTTTTTGCACAACCTTGTTAGGTACACTGCATGAACCAAGAAGTTTCAATAAATGGGATTACTCCCAGCTGGAACCAGAACGATCAAGGAGAGAAGATTTGATGTCAAGAAAGAAAAAAATAGGGACTGGTAAAAATCCTGATAACATTTATGTTTTTCTTTCTTACATAAAGGAAAATTATCATTGATTTTAAATGAAGTAGTTTCTCATTATGAACCATTATAAAGTATATGCCAGTTCCCCTTTTATTATATTTCAATCATGCCAAGAAGTCAAAATGAAATCAAGGTTTGTATAGAGTTGTCATGGATTAGTGTTAAATATATGATTTGCTTGCAAAATTAAAGTTTTAGTAAAACATTAATAGTACATACATCTTAAAGCAAAGATCAACTATAGTAAATAGATTAACCTGAAAACAGTGCTCAATTTGTCTGAGATTTTGTAGAACGTGAGCATGTGGATGTAAATAGCTATTGCAAGTCATCTTACTACTTTCTAATCCACTCTATCATACTAACTGTAATATAAATCTAGACACTTGGTTTAATTTTCTCAGGTTTAAGTACCTGAGTACTTAAGTTGGTTACCACGTTTAAAGCGCTCCATGGCATCGGACCTGGGTACCTCCGAGACCGTCTTCTGCCGCAGATTGCCTCCCATCGACCGGTACGCTCCCACAGAGCGGGCCTCCTCAGGGTGCCGTCGGCCAAACAGTGTCGGCTGGCGACCCCCAGGGGGAGGGCCTTCTCTGTGGGAGCCCCCACCCTGTGGAACGAA